TGTGTGGCGTCGTCGGCCATACCTGAGCGTTTCGCTCGAAGGGGGCGAAGCGACGTGCTTTGTTGTGTGGCGTCCTGTAGTTAAACATTACAAGAAATAAGCAGAACACAATAGGTGCGTTGTTTATGGCAACGACTTTTATTAGGGTCAGTGGCTCGAGGCCGAGGGGGGTAACCTTCTGAACAACTCGTACAAGAGTTAGCTTCCCAATGATTTTCTGAGCTTGGGGTGGGGTGGGGGCTCTGCCGTCTGCACCCTCTTCGGATTGCTGGTAGAACTTCACCGAGATGTAGGGCCCTTCGTATTTTGAGGGATAAGCCGTCTGCCGTGCGTCCCTTCGAGGAAGGACGCAGTCAGCGGATGTGACGCTTCTTCAGTTGGGGCTCCTCGAAGTCCTCTTCATCGCTAAGCTTCCCAATTTCATGCTTCTTCGTTGAGGTGTCCCCTTCCTGATTGCCGGTGGACTTCCTTGGGGTAACTTTGACAAATTGGTGGAGTTCACCCCGTTGAATCAAGCGCTCAATGGCTTTCTTCAACGCGACACAGTCGTCTGTATTGTGGGAGGTGTTCCTGTGGTAACGACAATAAGTGCCACCCTGGTGGACGGCGTAGACTTCCATGGCCGACCGGGGATCTTTAGGGATGAGACCTTGCTCCTCCGCATAGTCGAAGATGGTGTCCACCGAGTGCGTGAGCGTAGTCCTCGGGACGTCCGTCCTCGGCTGCCATGGGCGCTCCTTCCGGTTTCGGCGGGCATGGCCCCCGGCCAAGGATGCATTTGGAGCCGACGCCTCGTCTGACCTCTTTGATGGTTGGCCTACGTCCTTCTTGCGGGAGTGGAGCTCATCGGCGTCAGCGTACAAGCTCCCTCGTTGGAGTGCCTTGGTGTATGACTTCGGCGGGTCAGTGATGAGGCTCCTTGCATAGGGGCTGCTGCGGAGAATGCCTTGGAAGAGGACGAGGAGGGTGCGCTCATCGGCACCTTCGACCTCGTCTGTCTCCTTCGTCCATCGATCGATGAAAGACCGAAGTGATTCATCGTGTTGCTGCTTTATGGAGAGAAGGTGGGAGGAATGTTTTCTCACGCGCTTCCTTCCGGCGAAGTGGGTGAGGAAGCGTTGGGCAAGATCCTGCCACGAATCTATGCTTCCTTCGGGGAGCGCGTTGAACCACTCGTACGCTGGCCCTTCAAGAGTGGAAAGGAACCAACGGCAGAGGTATTCATCTGATGCGTTCACCATTAGCATGTTGTTTTGATAGCGGCTGAAGTGCTCCTGAGGGTCAGAGCGGCCGTCGTAAGACTTGATGGCGTTCCCCCTGTACTTTTCCGGGATGGGGGCCGAGAGCACCCTGTTGGTGAAAGGGGTCATGGTCCTGACTTGGATGATGGGGTCACCTCGCCCTTCGGCCAACTCCCTCTCCAGGGCGTTGACCTTGTTCATGAGAGCGTTGAGGCCGGGGTCGTTGGAGGCGCCAGCCGTGGGGGTGTTGGCCGACTGCCTGGCCTCCATCTGAGCCAGTGTAACACCCCGGGCCTCCACACGGACCCGAGGTAGTTACTCTAGACCTCTAGTACTGTCCCCACAAACCACCACGAGCCTTTACCGCGCACTTTGTCCTCACTCATGCGCGCCCTGAGAAACTTCCCAGGGGGTCACCCATCCCAAGACTACTCCCGTGCAAGCACGCTTAACTTTGGAGTTCTTGGGTGATGAGCTCCCTTAAAAGGAGATGCACCTCTGTTGGTATGAGTAGTACTATTAATCCTTTTAAATTAAATCTCAAGTATTACAATCACCCCCACTTAGGATCGCAACGTCCTCGTTGCGCCCTTAACAATCTCAATCAAACCCCAGAATCTTGCCCCGCTAAGTGCCCGCCCGATATCCAACGGGTCAACACACTGTCGCAGGGTTGCTCTGATACCATTTGTAACACCCCGGGCCCCCACACGGACCCGAGGTAGTTACTCTAGACCTCTAGTACTGTCCCCACAAACCACCACGAGCCTTTACCGCGCACTTTGTCCTCACTCATGCGCGCCCTGAGAAACTTCCCAGGGGGTCACCCATCCCAAGACTACTCCCGTGCAAGCACGCTTAACTTTGGAGTTCTTGGGTGATGAGCTCCCTTAAAAGGAGATGCACCTCTGTTGGTATGAGTAGTACTATTAATCCTTTTAAATTAAATCTCAAGTATTACAGCCAGCCTCCTTTCCAGCTGGGCAATGACCTCGTCCCGGGGGTCCCTGGCGGCCGCAGCGGCGCCCTGCTGGTTCCTCATGCGCTCTTCGTGGGCCGCATTGATCTGGTGACGCGCGTCGTCCTCGTGCAGCTTCCCCTTGCCCTTGTCCGGGCGGGGCTGGTCCGCTGTCCGGGACACAGACCCCAAGCTTTCCCTTGGCGAGCCAGACCGACGCTCACCAATCCGTCCTGCCATCCTCTCCGAGACCGGACGACGACGCGTGTCACCTAGCCTATTGAAGGTAGAGGCTTTTCCACGCGCTAGGGTCTGCCCATGCCGAAGAGGGGAAGCGGGGTGGGAGTGGGACGACGTCGTGTCCTGGGCCATGACCCCCTCATCGTTGCCTATATGGACGGCCAACGGTTGGGGCTGAGGAGGTGGAGTGACGTTCCCCCCGGTCCTTGGCAAGAGAGCGTTGAGGACGGTGGGGTTCTGGGCCAAGCTGGCGATGATGACCGACAGCGCGGCCTGGACCTGTGGATCCACAGACGGAGAGGCCGTGGCCATAGGCTGGGCCGGGGCGTGGTCTATCTTCTCAGCTTGTTTCTTGTCCAAGCCGATGCGGGCATAAGGGGCTCCGCCGTTGAGTTGGTTGCGGAGGTGCGTCGTGAGGTTGATGGCCTCCTGGAAGACGTCCCCTCCGCCGACTTGGTCGGCCGTAGCATCCTCGTCATGTTCCCTGGTCTCCTGGTCCGCAGGGATGGCCTTGCTGACGAGGTTGCGGTTTGACCTAGTTCTTCCCATGATCAGTGGTTAGCCGTGCTTGGTAGCGACGAAGGGTGCTAACTTGATTGTTCTAGCTCTCAACGAGAGCACCAAATGATAGAGTATTAACTCCTAGATTCTAGAGAGAAGGGAGAGCTAGAGAGAGAAGTGAATTGTATTAATGAATTTTGTCCACCCTTACAACTACTCCCAAGGGGAGTATTTATAGAGAAAATACGGGCTGGGCTCCCAAGTCTTGGGCTTGGGAGGCCCATCTACAACTGGACCGCTATTGGGCCGAATACAAAGCCACTGGTGGGCTATACAAATGAATAAGTGTAAAATCCGGTTCTGTGAGACTTCCGTGGCCGACGAGGGCATGGCCGATGAGGGCATGGCTGATGAGGGCATGGCCGATGAGGGCATGGTCGACGAGGTCACCCAGTTCTCCGGACTTCTGGATCATATTCTGAGTAGACCTTTTCATGGCCGATGAGGGCATGGCCGACGAGGTCACCCAGTTCTCCGGGCTTCTGGATCATATTCTGAGTAGACCTTTTCCTGGCCGGTGAGGGCATGGCCGATGAGGGCATGGGCGACGAGGGGATGGCCGATGAGGGCATGGCCGACGAGGTCACCCGATTCTCCTGACTTCTGGATCATATTCTGGGTGGCCTTCTTTCTGGCCGATGAGGGCATGGCCGATGAGAGCATGGCCGATGAGAGCATGGCCGACGAGGTCACCCGGTGATCGTGGTACCTTCTGTTCTTCTGAGTATGTGGGTCCTGGGACCTAGATCCATATACTCCATCAAAAGGGTTTTTGGAACATATTTTACTACTCCCTACTATTTTGGGAATACAAAATTGTAATCGCATTTATGAGTGTTTAGTCTAATAGACATTAGGTTATTAGATTGTTAGTTATTTGTAATGTAAGATAAGTTTTGAAGTTGGTAGTTCTTCAGATGGGCAATTGGGCATTCACACATGAAAAAATATTCAAAAATGCAGGTACATCATTTTTATCTCTATTGTATGGTCACAAATGGAACAACACATTTAAATGAGACAACACATTTAAGTGTGACCTCGTTTGGATGAGATAAAAATGGGTTACCCAAAATGGGTCTATAGCACGGTTGGAAAATATTTGAGTTCTTATTTGCTAATCTACATAAGTATTAGCAAATAAATCATTTCTTTCCTTATTTATATGATTTTAACACAACTTTGGTAAGTTTTTCTCTGCGATGTAAATCACAATGTCAATATCTAGACGGTCTGCTTGACAGGGCCGGTCCTGGGGAAATGAAGGCCCTGTGCAACAAAAATAACTGGGTCTTCTTTTCAAAATTTTAACACAAGTTAAAAAAACCGAACCGAAACCGCACCGACTCAAACGGGACCCGAAAGTCAGGACTCGAACATAAATCGGTTTAGTGAATGTTTTTTGAGTTATAAATTGGTTCAAACCGAACCGAACCGATTTTTATTAAGAGATATTTTTGATTATTTATTTTGTAGAACAAATAGATAATATAAAGCTTGTACGTCCTTATTTCAACAATTAGTTGATTTGGTCCAGTGGGTTGATGTTTAGAGATTAGCGTGCATGATTTTATTTTCACCTGGGTTCGAATCTCGCATGCCTCGCTTCTTATCTTTTTAGTTTCTAAAGCTTAAGATTCCCACATCGGTGGAAACGGAGGATTTACTACTCCTTCGTTCCTATATATATTCACTCCACCTCTAAGTAATACTAGTATATTACTACAAAAAAAAAAATTGGGCCCTTCCAATTTTTTGGGCCCTGTGCGGTTGGACACCTTGCACACCGCCAGGGCCGGCCCTGCTTCTTGACATCGTGAAAAACTTACCAAAATTGTATAAAGTCATTCAAACAAGGAAAGAAAGAATTTATTTACTAATATTTACGTGGCTATCACATGTGTACCGTGCACATTGTAGCATTGGAGATGCTCTTACTTTTCAACCCTCCATATACTATATGTGTGGCCATGATTCATTCTCCTACTACCCCACCCGATCCACCAAGTCTTCTTAGTCCCTACCATTCCAATATTTCATTATCCAAAACACGTGTAACTCTCTAGCACTCCTTGCTTCTCTTTCTTCTTTCTTCTTTACGCAAAATTCTGAGTTTCACCTATCTTTAGCTGCCTCAAGAAAATGGCGTCCACCCTATCCTCTGTCGGAGCTGTTAACAAGCCTTTGGTACTGTCTCATTACCCCCCAGCTTTCTCAGTCTGATAAATATTTTACCACTGCATTTCTTCTCATCTTTATTTTTTTTTTTGCTTTACCAGCATATAATTTTCATATATGCTTCATCACCCCCATCATATATTCTTCACAAGAGAACTGTTTTTTCATTAAATAGTAGGGTACCACTAGTTTTATAATTGTGAACAATAAACAAATTAATTTATTTCATAGTGGTTCCATATATGCTTAAATTTTAGAACAGTTCAGCTTGACTGAAACTTACTGGTCCGGTTTATGTTGATCTAGTATGGCTTCTTTATGTCTCATCCTGTCTGCATGGATCTGTTTAGTTTTTGTCTAAACTGATACGGAGTATAATATTAAGTTTGTTTCATTATTATTTAACTATTTAAGTATGATATGATTTGATGTGGTGTATCTTTCAAGTTTGTGTTGACTCTAATCTGGTCTAGTATGATTTGTTGTGGGGCTGAAATAAGTGCCAGTGAATAATTCTTACCTAAAGGTCCACATGTAATTTGTTGAGTTGGACCTGATGGTTTCTTATATGCCTAGAATAAGGCTTTATATATGTTTCAAACATTGAATGGATCTGAGTAAATAAACAACATTGCAGTTGAGTTTGAATAATAGCAGTATGGGAACTTCAGTTCCCAGCAGCACTGCTTTCTTGGGAAAGAGGTTAAAGAAAACCAGGTTTATAGCTGCCACCCCCAGAATGATTCGTAGCAGCAGGCATTTGAGGGTTGCTGCACAGCAGGCACATGAGGCAGCTGAGCCTGAGATTGATGAGAAGAAACAGACTGTCAATGACAGATGGAGGGGCCTTGCGGAGGACATTTCTGATGATCAACAGGACATCACCAGGGGAAAAGGAATGGTTGACTCTCTTTTCCAGGCTCCTGCGGGTACTGGTACTCATAATGCTGTCCTAAGCTCTTATGATTACATCAGTAAGGGCATTCGCCAGTAAGTCGTCCCATTTCGGGAATTCGTTAAGACACCAACTTAGCAGCAATTCACAAGTTTATGAAGTTGGAACAAATAAACCCTTTACTTTTTTTATATTCTCAGATACTCACCACTGGATAACACAATAAATGGATTTTACATTGCCCCTGCTTTCATGGACAAGCTTGTTGTGCACATCACCAAGAACTTCTTGAAACTGCCCAACATTAAGGTTTGTTGTGTACTGTCATATATCTGGAACTTAATAGAAGTAGAAAACATGATTCTTGAGCACATCCGTGATGGAGTTTTTACGGTGGGTGACAATGACACTTTTGTTATCCGTTTAGTTATCTGTTGTCACAGTGACACTTTCCGCACTTGTCTTTGAAATTGTAAGCTTTTATTCCTCTTGCTATGGTGGCAATTACACTTTTGGTGCTTTAACTAGTGGGACTGATATTTTTTGTCCTCCAACTGATGTGGCAAAATTCAAAAAAGAGTACTAAATGACACATTCAGAATGGTGGGTGGATTAAAAGTGGATAAAGTCAAAGACGTATATCAAAAGTGTCTCTGCAACAATACCCAAAGTATAATTGCCACAATAATTAGAGAACTAAAAGTGAAAAAAAAAACCAGGATGATTATCTTTCACGATCTTGGCAAACTTCTCTGTGCCTGTAGGTTCCTCTCATCTTGGGAGTTTGGGGAGGCAAGGGTCAAGGGAAGTCATTCCAGTGCGAGCTTGTCTTCCGAAAAATGGGAATCAAGTGAGTAGTGCTTCAGGCCTTCAGCATAACTTTGCAAGAATGGTCAGACAAAGTAACTAAGTAAATAAGTTAATAAACAATGCTAATTGATATTGGCGAATTTCAGCCCTATAATGATGAGTGCTGGAGAACTGGAGAGTGGAAACGCTGGTGAGCCGGCTAAGTTAATCAGGCAAAGGTACCGTGAGGCAGCAGAAATCATCAGAAAGGGCGATATGTGTGTCCTCTTTATCAATGACCTTGATGCAGGAGCTGGTAGGATGGGTGGGACCACCCAATACACTGTTAACAACCAAATGGTGAATGCCACACTCATGAACATAGCTGATAACCCAACCAATGTCCAGCTTCCAGGTATGTACAACAAGCAAGAGAATGCCCGGGTTCCCATCATAGTCACAGGCAATGACTTCTCCACGCTATACGCGCCTCTCATTCGTGATGGTCGCATGGAGAAGTTCTACTGGGCACCAACTAGGGAAGACAGGATTGGTGTTTGCAAGGGTATCTTCCGGACTGACAACCTACCTGATGGGCACATTGTTAAGCTCGTTGATGCCTTCCCCGGACAATCAATCGGTAACTTTGCTTTCTCCCTCATTGAAAGCTAGAGCACACACACATATGTATTTAAGACCTTAGGCTATTGTTGATGATTTTGTCCTGCAGTGGCTAAATATATGAAATAAGAAACCAACTTATGCATTGAAATACTCTTTCTATCAGATGATTTTCTAGGATAGAATCACAAGTCATTATAAATGGCTAAATATGAAATAGCAAGACAACACATAAAATCTTTTGGATACTTTTTCTATTAGTGGAACTTCTAGGATGAAACCACGAGTCTTGATATCATTTAATTAATGATCTGATTGTAGATTTTTTTGGTGCCCTGAGGGCTAGAGTGTATGATGATGAAGTGAGGAAGTTTGTGGCCGGCATTGGTGTAGAGAATGTCAACGAAAGACTTCTAAACTCTAGCGACGGACCCCCAGTTTTCGAGCAGCCAAAGATGACCCTTGAGAAGCTACTTGAGTATGGAAACATGCTTGTACAAGAACAAGAGAATGTTAAGAGAGTTCAATTAAGTGACAAGTACCTAAGAGAGGCGGCCCTTGGAGACGCAAACGAGGATGCCATCAAGAATGGAAATTTCTATGGTAGTTAGTTAAGCGCCCTTCTCCCTTCATTAATTAACCTATCAATAGGACTTGATATGAGTTAAGCATCCTAAAAAAATGTCTATTAACAGTTATTATCGGTCGGATGCAGGAAAAGGAGCCCAACATGGGGATCTTAAGGTTCCTGAAGGCTGCACTGATCCTCAAGCAACAAACTTTGATCCAACCGCCAGGAGTGATGATGGAACCTGCTTGTATACATTCTAAAGGGGTTTGTTTATATCTGCAAAACCTTTACTGTCAAAGTTGTCACTGTGAAACAATACTCAGTGACCTGTACATATAAGGTGTAATAATGTTTTGTATACATAGTATTATTTTTAATCTATCAAATACTCTAATATGGAAAAGTGAGTTTATTCAAAGAACAGATTGCTACCTCCATTATGAAGAAACTGACATCTGTAATAGTTTAAACTAGACGATGTACCCGTGCGATGCACGGGGTATATCTAGAATTGAATAATAACTTATTTAAAATTATGTCTTATGATGGTAGGTAATTAATGTGTAATTTTGCCGAATAAAATGAGACGGTAGAGTTTATATGATGTAACGTTTATTATATACGTAGTAGTAGTTGTAGGAAAATTTGAATCATATGAAAATATTGTAAGAATACTAAAATAAATGATATATAATGTGTAACCTTATCATCATGGCAAATGAAATAATTATTGGAAATCGTTTGCGTTGAAATTTGAAAGGAATTCTATTATCCGACGGGACAAATGATAGTCGATGAATCAAAATCTTTTGACCAATACTTTTTTCGCTTAAAACCTTGGTCTCTAAAACAAATTTACCCAACTGAATTCACTGATATTGGTGAAAATTTGGTTGAAACGATTAAACTGGCTAAGTTTGTCGAGTATAAGAAAAAAATTAAAATATTTTATTAGAAATAAACATTACGTGGAAGCATAGCTAAAATAGTGATATTCAACAAATTGAGTAAAAAAGTGACTCCTATCTTATGAGATAACTAAATTGGCTAAGTCTTTGAATTTTGAAAAAAAAATTAAAAATATGTTTTATTAGAAAAATAAAGAAAACATTATATGAAAGAATAGCTAAAATAGTGATATTCAACAAATTTAGTCAAAAATAACTTCTATATATCCCATTAATTAAGACAGAAAAGTAATTTCAACATCACTTATTTTGCTAGTAATACTTAAGGGTGCAAATCGAAAGTTATGTACAAAGTATTTGGTGTATCAAAATTGATTGAGAATTTTGATAGGTCGAAAAAGGGTTACTGTACTGGCTCTCCTTCTCTAAGTGCATAACCACTTTTTAGTGTTCATAAGTACATTTTAAATGTGTCATCCTAATTATATTAGGTATCTTCTAAAGGATAAGTAAACTTACAAAAAGATTAAAACAAAGAGGATGCTTTTGAAATTTACATGTGTAGTTAACAATTTAGTATTGTCATATATTACTCCGTAATATTTAAACGAAGATTTTTACGTCTAGTATGATAAGAAAAGGCCTAGTAATTAAGTGCTCAAAAAAGGGGGGAAAAGAACAAAGAAGTAAAAACAAACTGGCATCAAAAGAGATAGAGAAACAAAAATAATTGAGTGCTCCTTATTCCCCTTTCTCTTCTCCAACACTCTTTCTCCATTCTCAAATATAGATGGTGTACCGTTTGACCAATTCAAGAGCAATAAATGTTCTATTTATGGAAATTATTAAAGGCACATAAGCTGTAAATATAGGTGGTACGCATCTCATATGGTTTCATATGGTTCCATACATATCTTATGGAACTTAAATTACAATTTTATCCTTATTTTAAACAGGAACATCTTTTCCAAGCAATTAGAATTACAAATTTGCCCCTCATTTAGGCGAGATTTTTCTCTCCAATTGTTGTGCCAACACTGTTACTTTATACGGAGTATTATATAAAGATAGAGGAGTATTATATAAAGATAGAGATAAAGATAAAGATTATTTTGAATCGGCTAGTTTATATACACACGTATGACACGATGAACATATACATTGACAATAAAGGGAGCATTTATTGTCTTGCCAGGAAAGTAGAAAGTAATTCTAGGAGAGATACACTAAGAGCCCGTTTACTCATTTGTTAACATTGAAATTGGTTAAATCGGCTGATTTTGCCTGAAATTTATGAAGTTTTGACTGAAGTAGTTGGATTGGTTGATTATGTTGATTTATGAGAAATTGTATTTAAAATATTTTTTATTAACAATAAAAGAACGGAGAAAGTATTATCTAAAGATGTTATACGTACTACATACAGAGTAGAAGATATAGCAATATGGGTGAGAAATAATTTAAAAGAGAACTTTTATGGTAATAACCATATGTTATTATTATGTGGCCATAATTATAGCCGATCTAATCATATATGGCAATATTGTTATAATTATTTTATAGCCTAATAAATGTTTGACCATATTTATTACTACGTATGCAGCATATCTTTATGAAAATCAGGCAAACAAATTTATTCGATTATCCATTGAGCGGGATCATCTTTTCCAAGCAATTAGAATTACATATTTGCCCCTCATTTGGGAGAGATTTTCTCTCCAATTGTTGTGCCAACACTATTACTTTATATTATATAAAGATAAAGATAAAGATAAAGATAAAGATAAAGATAAAGATAAAGATAAAGATAAAGATTAGATTACTATTACTACTATTATTATTATTGCTCTCATTTTATTAGAAATCTTTTTACATTAATTAAGAAAAATATAGATGCTATATACGGAGTATATAAAATCTCAAAATTTAAGTTAAGTTATACCACAAGCATCATTATAGCTAGCTTCCAAAAATAGTCTAACTTTAATAAATAAAATAATACTCCGTAGATACTATGCATCATTATCGGAGAAAGGTCTAATCATGAATGGTTAAGACCTATTGATAATGGTGAGAAAATTATAGCTAATCGATATACATATTAGTGTTTAAACTAAATGTTACGCATTTGTTACTGGAAATATATGATGAGAATCTATAGATGATTTCGATCAATCTTGTAAATTTGGTAATATTAAATTTACTATGCAATTTAACCATTTCAATATGCCACCGTACATGTAACTTTAGTGGTTTTTAAGATAATCCAATTTACATTTTTTGTCCTCTTTTTGGGTGGGAATTTTCCCTCCAATAATTATGCAGACACCGTTACTTTATATTATATAAAGATTTGTTACAAGGGCATAAAACTAAAAACATCTCTACACGGTTCAAGCCTTTTAGAAACTTATGAGAATACTTTAAGGTATGTGAAAGCTTAAGAATGTACTAAAAAATTTAATGAAAAGAAGGGAGGTATCTAATAAGATAAATGAAAATGATTTTGTTCCGATTTTGTGTCAATATAAATGTTTACCAAGTTTTTTGAAAAGTAATATGTATACCAAAAACTATCTCATCATCGTCATTACCCCAGTACCTCAAAGGCTCCCACCTACGGTGGGGTAAGAGAGTCGGATGTACGCAATCTTATTTCTGTACTAAAGCACAGAAAGACTATTTCTGAAACCAAAAACTATCTCTTTAAGGAAAATAATATGTGATTCATATTATATTTTCCTAAATAAATTACAATCGACTTAGGGATATTCAGGCTCGAATGGTTTACTTCCACCATATCCTAAGGTGACACTCTACTATTGAGTTATATCCCTTCCTAATAAAAGTAAAATGTAAAACATGTGCTGAAAATGTTTAATATTTTTAGTTTGGGACACACATTTTCAATACAAAGTGAATGCGGGATCAAACTTTGTATAAGACTCACAGTTGCATTACTTATAACTTCATTTTCGTAGGCAAAGCAAATTTTTTCCCATTGAATAGTGAAGATGTTTGTATCTAAGTGACTAAGTGTATAAACTGATTATGTTGTTTGAGAGAACACTCAAGGAGCACAAATTATACCTACCCCACTACGGCATTAGTTTGCTTATTAATACTACCTCTCTCCCAAAAAACTGTCATTTCAAAAAACTTTTTGGGACGGGGATCAAGCTCATAACGGGATCAGTATTAAATAACCATTGAGCCTAGTTAAGAATAAGACTCACGAAAGGAACCCACAACGAGGTCAGACTGGACAACAGATCTTGAGTCTGGGCGGGATTCTAGTGAGGTCGGAGTATTCCTAGGGCTTACGTGGCAGGCTATCATTCGTGTATAGCTATCTGGCAGCGGGCAGGAATACCGGAAGAACGTGGACTTAAAGGAACAATCATTGCACAACGGCAAAGACGTTACAAGAGTTCTATTCGAGCTAATATGTAATTAATAGCATTTATTATAACAATTTCCTTCTATAATACTAGTTCCTGTAGTCTATAAGTAATTCTTGTAATTATAGAATACCGAACTCCTGAGAATAGAAGCACTGCCTTACGCTGTCATATTTTCATCTGCTCTCGTAGATATAGCTCTCGTAGTTGGATTAAACTCAATCATCTACAATAAAATTTAACTCAATAAAAAGGGCATTTTAGAAAATCAAAGGGAAAAAATATTTTATTAAAACGTGTCCTATTAAAACTGGAGTGTTTAAATATGGATGGAGCAGTTCGTATACCGATCATCCCACGGTGAGCATCATGCTCCAGGCCCAAAAATGACGTAGTTTTAATCATTTTTTTAAATCGTGTGAACAGTACACGCGTGTGCAATAACCGTTTTTTGTCCCAGTAGCATGAATGATGTAACTCGCGTGTAAAAGAAATGTGATCCACGTTAATAAGAAATGTTACTGCAGGCAAGTCAAAATGTAACTTGTCAAAAACAATGATTTCAATGTAAACAATAAAAAAGGAGTCTAATTTCTTATTTATTTTACCGAAATAGTGAATATGTTTTGTTTTTAATATTAAGACCACAAAATGTTAAAAAGTCCTTTTTTTCTCCCAAAAAATTCATTTTTTGCAAAAGAAAATCGATTTTAAAAAAGTTTTTTTATTCAATAAATGAGTTTTATTTTGTGATTATGAAATACAATATACTTATTTGTGTGGTTCAATAAAATTTTGTATTAAACGGGTAAAGAAAAAAATTGATTCAGTTGTAATTTAATTAGTTAAAGACAAAGATAACTAAAATATAAAGAATAATTAGGTGTAACTCTCGCATAATTAGATGTAACTCGCGTATAAAAGTATGTAACTCGAGCATGAGAAGATGTAACTCACACACAACAAGATATAACTCACGCATAACAACATGTAACTTGAGCATAAGATGATGTAACTTCGTATATTATCAAATGTAACTCCAAGCTATAATCAAAATAAACAAACTCAGTGCCTTAGAAACCTCTAAAAACATATAAAAATGATAAAAAATATATTAAAGAATAAATGTATGCATATAAAAATATATTACAAAAAATGTATGAATATAAAAAAGATATTACAAAAAAGTGTATGAATATGAAATCCAATGTACTTATTTTATTTAGATTATTAAACTTTTTGTTATGTATTGATAAAGAATAAAAAAATAGATTCAATTAAAGAAAGAATAGCAAGAGAAAAAGGAAGGAAGAAGTTACATAGAAGGAAAGAAAACAACCTAACTTTGCAAAAGTGGGATCTACACACCATGGGGAAGATAGATTGATTCCATGACATAATTTGTGGGGATGAAGGGAGTATTACATTTACAATTTAATTCCATGTTTTAAACACATTCTTAGTATCATTTATAATGCAGTGCATCACATTTACACCAATTCTAAACTGTTTACATTACGATATCTTACCCATTGTTCATTACTTTCATTCGTATGTTCATTTTTTATCATGACATTTGTAAAAAAAAAATAGATTGAGTTACACAAAAGTAAAACACGAATTACACCAAAACTTTTAAACCAAAACTTACACAAAACTAACCTACTTACATTGTTCCTTCGCACGGGAGCACCGTGTGCATGAAGCCCCCATCCCATGGGCTACGTATATATTTTTAGATTATTGGACTCATACTATGTGTATTATTCACAATATATTATTTATTGAGTTTAATTGTATGTTATATGTTATTTTATATTTAGACTCAAAAATTAGTGGTCCTATGAATATTAATTCAAGTGAGCTAATATGTTATCTAATAAGGTATATGACCCAAATGTGTAGAAACTCATGAGTTTAATCTAATTAATGATGAGCTGATTAGGGTTAAACATTCTCTATAAATAGAGGATTTATGGTCCCTAATTGAACACATTATTTCTTCTTTCTGCATCCTATCGCTAGAGAGATTATCCTGAGGGTGTGTATCAACTAGAAGACGCAAACTCTAGCCTCCGTCTCTCGGATCTCTAAAGATCATCTTCAATGGAGTCAGGAACGCTTCAACTTAGTTATTTCTCTAGATAATTTTAATATAAAGATTAAAGTATTCATGGATTTATTCCGACGTAGGTAACTACTTAATGCGATGAGCATTTCTTCTTATTGTTGCTTTTCTTCTTCACTTGTACGTTGTACCCCTTTTTCCTTATCCTTAATAAAACTTCCTTCTTTTAAAAAACACAACTTAACACGTATCAATATAGGTGTTTAAGTGAAAATGTAAAATCATTTGTAAATGCTTTTCATAATGAATTTTTAGAAGGCAGTTTTTTTTAATGGGAGAAATCGGAGAGATAAAACTCTTAGGATGTTTTTACTTGGACCATAATTTGCTGGTCTGGTCTGGTCTGATCTGGTCTTTTTGGTCTGGTCTGGTCTGTTTTGATCTGGTCTGGTCTGTTTTGGTCTGGTCTGGTCTGTTTTGGTCTGGTCTGGTCTGAAATTTTATTTTTTATATTTTTTGCATAAAGATTTTATTATATATATATTTTATAATCCATAAATAATTATATTTTATTAATTTATAATTAAAAATAATAATATTCCTTCCAAATTATCGAAAATTGTTATCGTTTTACTTGGTCTGATTTCAATCCCAGGCCGAAGCAGATCAGACCAGACCAAAACAGAACATACCATATCGAACCGGAATAATAATAATAATAATAATTATAATAATTATTATTATTATAACAATACTAATAAGAATAATAACAATAATAATAACAATAATAATAATAACAATAATTATAATAATAATAGTGATAATAGTAGTAGTAGTAGTAATAATAATAATAATAATAATAATAATAATAATAATAATAATAAAATATGGTCTGATCTGATCTGTTTTAGTCTGGTCTGGTCTGGTCTGTTTTGGTTTGGTCTGATCTGGTATCGGATGAATTACAGTCCAAGTAAAAATAATTAGGCCCTAACTTTTAACAAAAATGAAATACTCCGTATAAAATATAGGGAGTAATTGAGTGCGTACAAATATTAAAGAATGTCAAACTTTACGCAATAACAAAAATGAAGTCATGTATCAAAATCGTAACTTTACCCTTATTAAATACCTTTTGTAGATTTAAAATTAGAAGAGGTTAAAATAACAAATTCATTAAAAAAATGTGTCAACAAGAAATGTCATTCAATTTATGTCATCTCAAAATGTAAACATGTAACTTTTATTTTGGGATGCAAGGCATGTATATATGTAAGTAGGTATAATAAAAAGAAAATTATAAAATTAAATTTGGCGGATAAGTAAGGAGAAAAAATTGAATTAAATCAAAGTTTAAGATGAAAATTAAAGGGTTGTTCGAAATACAGAATTTGAAAGATCCTTGAAAAATGAGGGAGTATATGAATTTTACTATAAATCCATTGATTCTATTTTATAATATAACTAACACGAGTAATACACAGTAGAATTTTATGAAAACCATAAGAATTGGAGCATAAGTGATCGAATTTTAATGAAAAATGCTAGAAGTACAAACACACTTACAAATAAGTGACGTGACTATTCTAATTATCATTCATGTAAAAGTGTTGTAAATGTGATGTGATGTGTTAAATAATGTGATGATGTCACATACCTTTTTGTAAGACTTTTTATAAATTTTTTTGTACTTCCAGCATAATTCAATTTTAATAAGAATACATGTATTATTTTTAGTTTAGAAATCCTAAACAATTATAGAAAATTGGGGATACCTTGATTTTAATGCAATGAATAGAGAAACGTAAAATTATAAATTATAACAAAAAACAAAGAAATTATAAAAATAGAACCACTGGAATTCATCATAATTTTAAAATTTATGAAAATTATTTTTGAAGACACCCCTAACTATTGTACACGATTTGTTGCATTGACTCTATTGTTATTATAGAATCATTTTCAAACAAACTGTGATCCCAAGAGCTAAACCTTGATTAATTAAATATTAATTGATTCTAATCCAAAGTTGAAAATACAAACAGAATTAGAATTAGAATCGAATTAGAATTAGAATCGGTACCAACTCCTAGTACATCTCGTATCTCATTACACGCCTAATTTATTTAACTTGGCGGAATTGAAGCAGTGTGCTTCTATGGTACAAATTGATGTGTGATCTTGCAGGAGTAGCTGATTCCGGAAGAAAAAGACCACCCCTCTCTACCTCTCTGTAGAAGTGGCATAGATCGCCGTCAATAATCATGCTCTCGCTGCAGGGAGAAGCGCGGCAGCACCACCTGCAACAGCAGCAGCAGAACCACCTGTCAATTCCTCGGATTTCTTTCGATGGAATGAGCCAAGCTGGCGTTGATCAGAGGGCTGATTCCTCCTTCTCCTTGCAATCCGTGTCCTCGGTTTTGTCATCCACCAACATCAAGCCCGAGTTACCCTACGAAGGTCGTTTATGTTTTCTCCTTCTTCGTGCTTAAACTAAAAGTTTGCAGCTGTTTTTTTTTTTGTGTATGGCTTTTCAATTTTGGGGCTGAAGCTCAGTAATCTAGGGCTTTTTTTTTCTAGGATAATAGTTAATTGTGAATTCTAGGTTTTCAAGTTGGGAAGTTCGATGGCAAGTTTGCTTTTATTTACATATTTGGTTATGAAATGTACGTATTAGAATTGGGAGTTTTGGTAGATTTTTTTATTCACCCATTCAATCATCATTTACTTGATTTAATTCTTAAAGTACGGATCTTTTTATTTATTTATTTGATTATTTACTAGTTTATTGATGCATGTATTTATTTAGTTCTTAAAGAATGGATCTTTTTATTTTTCTATTTAATCATTTACTTGTTTATTAGTGCATGTATTTATTTAGTTCTTAAAGACTGGATCTTTTTTTAAGTTGCGCACCTCATCAATTGCGTTGGTTAAAATGGAAATGCTTAATGTGAGCTGCAGTACTGTAGTATCATGTTGTAAATTAAACAACTTGTCTCTGACTTCGAGAGGAGCTTGTAAGTTTATAGTTCTGTTAACATAATTCAGAGTTCATACTACTCTTTTGTTGAAAGGAGATTATGTATGCATATTTCAACCATGCTTTCCTACTTTAGCATAAACGCCCCAATTTTTACGGTTCTCATATTGCATTCCATATTAGCGTACCGACTAAGTCCTAAACCAGGCCTCAATGTACCTAAAAGGGAAAATTCTGTATCACACTCCTAACCGTGGCGTACCATGTTTCTAGTACCTCACGCACATGTGTGTGAGTGTGTGTATATTACATTCTACCATTCCTGGTTCTAGCTTCTGACATTATTACCTCTTTCTTATCCAGGTGATGAGGATATACTCTTGAACCTTGCTCACCAAAATTACAAAGCTGGGAATTATAAGCAAGCATTGGAGCATAGCAAGAGCTTTTATGAGAGAAATCCAAGCCGCACAGATAATCTTCTTCTTCTTGGTGCAATTTATTATCAGGTTGCATTCCTTTATATCTCTATCTCTATCTCTAGGTAGCCTTCTTCATGAGGTCGTCATGCATCTCAATAACTTATACGATGTTTTCATGTTTCTTACAAACACTTTTATTTTTTGCGTTTTAGTTGCATGATTTTGATACATGCATTGCAAAGAATGAAGAAGCTCTCCGTATAAATCCACGGTTTGCTGAGTGCTACGGAAATATGGCAAATGCTTGGAAGGTAAACTGCTTTTATGTACAAGCTGTGAGCATTAGTCTTATTGATTGTCATGTAACTTACGCCTGGTGTTAATAGGGATATCATTTCATTTTTTGTAGGAAAAGGGAAATATTGATGTCGCAATCCGCTATTATTTGATTGCAATTGAGGTTTGTGTGTATTTTCCTTTAATATCCACTTGAATCCTCTTGCATGGACATTTATAATGTGCACAGTTGACATAAAATTTTACTTTTACCTTTCAGCCCTCTTGAAATGAAGACTATTTTACAGTCAATTTCACTTTTATCTCTGACCCGTAAATAATGAAGAATATTTTATGTTTTTGAAGGATATAATTTGTAGTTCCATAACCTGTTAAGGTGTACTAGTTTCGTAGAGAGATGGCAAATATCCTATTTGTTTTAAGTATTTCCTATATGTGTTCCATGCCTTGAATTTATTCTAAAATCAAGGGAATCTCTTCACTCCCTCCATTCTGAAGTTTTTGTCCATTTTGACCAAGCATGAGATTTAAGAAAGTGAAAACCGTGTGATTGAAATTTATTTATAAGATAAAGAAATTTTATGAACCCGTATTTCTTTCTTTGAAAAGAAATAGGCAACAGTTTCAGGAGAGACGAATAAAAGAAAACCATATTTCTTTCCGATATGATTTAGTGATGAATGCAGTAAAATTTGTGTTGTGACTCTTATGCTTTTTGCCCAATTTTTTACCCCATCATCGTTATCTCTCTCCTTCCATAAGAAAGGAGCAGTAAAATGATTTGAGATGTTGAAGATTCATACTTCCATAGCAATCTACATCTTGCATATCTAAAGCAATTCAATTGCCTGCAGTCAATCTGGGGGTATCCATTTTGTTAATACCTGACTATTTAACCATACTATGGCATTATCATCTTCCAAGACGATTGTACAAGGAGAAATTTCACATCTAATTTTTTATTTTCACTTTTCATGTTTCCCAGTATTGTGCGTTATCCATGTAATCTATCTTCTACGACCTATCGGTTTTCAATCCTTTGTTATTTATTTGAATATATTGTTGCAGCTTCGTCCCAACTTTGCGGATGGATGGTCAAACTTAGCTAGTGCATACATGAGAACAGGAAGACTAAGTGAAGCAGCACAGTGTTGCCGCCAAGCTCTTGCATTAAATCCACAGCTGGTATCATGTTTCATTCATCTCAATTTTTGTTTTATTCATTATCATAGTCCTCTCGGTGATACTTTGAATTCAACTTAGGTTGATGCACATAGCAATCTTGGAAATTTCATGAAAGCACAAGGGCGAGTTCAAGAGGTAAGATGGTGGTTAATCTCTGCCTCACCTCTTCGTGGTAAAGTAAATTTCATGTGTGCAGTATAATTCCCCATGTACGGATGCTTTTAGACTTAATTCAGTCCTAGACCAGACTTAAATAGACCATACCAGACTAGGTTAGACTCTAACAGGCCAGACCAGACTTTTGCAACTCTAAAATACACAGAGACCAGCATCTACCAGGCCAAGACAGACCATTTCAAACCAGACCAGACTTAAAAAGACCAAACCAGACTAGAAAATTCCAGTCCAAGCATTTGAAATTTGAATTAGTTCTGGTTGCTCCCTCTCTACTTCATATTTGAAATGTGATTGAAAAATGACCTTAAAAGAATTCCTTGATGTCCAATTGTCCATTACACTTTGAGTTGATAGGCTTCCAAAAATTTAAACTTTAAAATCAACCATCTACTATGAGTCAGTTTGACACCATTGCCAGTTCTCAGTGTTTTGTTTTACATTCATAAAACAAAAAAAGTTTGCCCCACTGATTTTGGTGGTTGGCCTACTGGGTTTAAAAAAAGTTTTACATTCATAATCTTATTTTTTAGTCTTCAAAAAATAGTAAAAAATGATGCCAAAATGCGGCCTATATAGTACTTCTAAAATTCTAAAATATATTCACCGTACAGAAAGTCCCTAATATGTAAAATAATACATTGGAAAATCAAAATATTTGATTCTGTTGTGGAATAAGTTATGACCATAATATGATCAAACCATTAGTCTCTTGAATGTCCTTTTGGTTACAGGATTTTGAACATAGTTTTTGTCTGTTATTTTTTAGTTTTTGCCTTGTTCGGATGTTATTTTTTTGAACGGAAAATAGCATTTGATTTATCATCTTTTTAGGAGTGAGTTTCCTGTTACCTATACCTTGAGGTTTGAATTTCCAATTTCTTCAGGCATACAATTGCTATGTTGAGGCTCTTCGCATACAACCTACATTTGCTGTTGCATGGTCCAATCTGGCTGGCCTCTTTATGGAAGCAAGTGACTTCAACCGGGCCTTGCAATACTACAAGGCATGTGATGCTTTAACATTCTATTTTGATTATATTTCTTAATTTTGATTCGATAAGAAAATACTATGCTTATTGCCTCTTTAGCACAATTGTCTTTGTCCTTAAAAAGTGTTTTGTGCTCCTCTTGTTTCACTCCCAAAAGATTTTTGTAATGTAGTAGGTCATTGGCTTAGCTTCTAAAGCTTTAATCAAGTAGATAAGGCCCAAACTGAGTCGAGCCATACAAGCACACTACCTTTAGATTTTTGCTCTATTGCTACATCGATCACTCAACTTTACATTCTTTTTTTCAGGAAGCTGTCAAGCTCAAACCAAATTTTTCGGATGCATACTTGAACCTGGGAAATGTCTACAAGGTAAGCCATGTGCATTGTGCTAATAGGGTCAGGTAGATGGCAATGCCCGGAGTAGTTCTGGAGCAATACAAGATCTTCTTTGAATTTTCCAGGCTCTGGGGATGCATCAAGAGGCTATTGTGTGTTATCAGCATGCTCTCCAAGTTCGACCAGATTATGCCATGGCTTATGGTGAGTGGTTGTGTACTCCTCAGGCATGTAGGAGATTGTTTTATTCATAGACACATACTACCTCCGTTCTCAAATGAACACAATTTCGGTAGGCACATTTTCTAAGAAAATAAAGGAGGTACTTGTAATTTAATAATTGTAGCCTTCTAGAAGTAAGAAAATGTAGTATGGGTCAACAAAAAAGTGAAATGTGAAATCACAGGTGAAAGCATAAAGTGGGAAAGTAAAATTTTATGGTTTCAATTAGGAAAACAATCATAATATTGAGACAAAAAAGAGTGTTTATCTAACAAAATGAGACAGGGAGTATCATTTGGGGCTTTGGGCTATATTTTAAAGCTTTTACTTCCTCCACCAACTCAGGATTGATCTCCATATTCTGTGGTAACATTAGTATATGACACTTGCACCCTCTAATTATTAAGTTAAAAAATTATTGCCTAACCAATAAGGTAATTTTGAGTATTGCAGGAAACTTAGCTAGCCTGTACTTTGAACAAGGAAACCTGGAGTTGGCAATATTTAATTATAAGAGAGCTATTTCCTGTGATGCTGGATTCTTGGAGGCATATAATAATCTGGTCTGTCCTCATGCCATTTCTAACCTTGCTGATTTCATATCTCACATTTTGATAAGTCACTTTAACTTCGTGGATGGCTATATTTCTATACAGTTTTTTGTCATTCGTTGTATTTTGTTTAGGCAAAATACAACGTGAAATAAAGCAAAATGGCTCACTAAACTGTCTGCGCTTCTTTATTGTGAAGCAGCAGCCAGTCCATGTATTTTTCGACGCGATTTTCATTATGGGTCATTCGGAAACAGTCTCTCTGTGCTTTAGTACAGGGGTAAGACTGCGTACATCTGACCCCCCCTTACCCCACCGTAGGTGGGAGCCTTTGCGGCACTGGGGTAATGATGATGATGACGACGATGATGACGACGATGATGATGTTGTATTTTGTTTAGGGCAATGCACTGAAAGACACTGGCAGAATTGAAGAAGCAATATGTTGCTATCGTGTAAGTTTTTTTGTTGTTTGAGCAAATACTTCTATTTTTTTCACTCTACAGGACTCTTATATAGTTACATTCATTTTTTCCTTTACTTTGACATGGCATGTGCAGCAATGCCTCTCGCTCCAACCAAATCACCCTCAAGCTCTAACTAATCTTGGAAATATTTACATGGAGTGGTAGGTTTTGGTGGATTGGGTAATAAAAATGTGCCTTAAAGGTGTATCAAGTGTTAACTTTCTAATTTTGCAGGAACATGACGAGTGCTGCTGCACAATGTTACAAAGCAACTTTGAATGTGACAACCGGGCTCTCTGCTCCTTTTAACAATTTAGCCATAATTTACAAACAACAGGTAGTGTCTGAAGTTAACCTTGAACAAAAAATGTCTTGACTTCTGATCTGTGTAGAAGATGCTTGAAGTCTTAAAGGAAACCAACTTTTTGTTCTCTCTAGTCTTTTGTTTCTTTCTCGCACTATCATGTTATAGTGTGCACTGGGAAGTGGCGATAATCTTGTTTGATCACAGGGTAATTATGTAGATGCCATATCATGCTATAATGAAGTACTCAGGATTGATCCTTCAGCAGCTGATGGACTAGTAAACCGTGGTAATACATATAAAGAAATAGGTAGGGTTAATGAAGCAATTCAAGACTATCTCCGAGCTATTGCCATCAGGCCATCAATGGCTGAAGCTCATGCAAATTTAGCTTCAGCTTACAAGGACAGGTAATAACATAATGTTTGCATCAATGAAGTAATATGTAATACCATCTTCTCTGTTCTGCATTCATCCATTCACTTATATATGATCTTTTTGCATGTGTAGTGGCAATGTAGAAGCAGCAATAAAAAGTTACCGGCAAGCATTGCTGCTACGGCCTGACTTCCCAGAAGCAACTTGCAATCTGCTTCACACCTTACAGGTTCATGCCTTTCAATTTTCAGGTTTTAAAGCTGGACATAAATAAATATGAATTGAATCTTAAAAGATATGGTGATATTCAAAAGTAGATCTTTCATAGTTACGGAGTATGTTTCTTGAATGGCGTCTAAATGATTTTTTTAGCAAGAATGGCGTCTCTCTTTTACTTGTCTTGTTTACTCGTTATATCAGAATACTTTTCTGGTGGATTAAATATTTCTTGTATGACATCGTGAACTTCTCAAGGAGTGGGCCGAGTGGCATATGCTACATTCATATTTGACCTTGTTAGTAAACATTAATTAAACAATAAATGCAGGAAAAACAAGTTTGTTCTACTTTTGAATGCAGAGTTTAGTTTATGCCATCATGTAAATGTGACTGTCGTTTTTACCTATTTTGGTATTGTGTTTGCAGTGCGCTTGTGACTGGAATGATCGAGAGAAGATGTTTGTTGAAGTTGAGGGGATACTTAGAAGACAGATCAAGGTCTGTCTAGCTTCTTTATTCATGCTCTGTATTATTAATTCCAGCAGCTGGTAAGCACATTAGTTGTGACATCTATGTGGCTAATGTTACATTTATCTTGCATCCAACCCCTACAGATGTCAGTTTTGCCAAGTGTGCAACCTTTCCATGCAATTGCATATCCTCTTGACCCACTACTTGCTTTAGAGATCAGGCGAGTTCCTGTTCTTCTTGCTCTTTTTGGTTTGGAATAATTCTATACCTAAGTTGATCTTTTCATGCATGCAGTCGGAAGTATGCCCAGCATTGCTCCTTAATTGCATCTCGCTATTCGCTTCCTTCTTTTAGCCATCCTCCTCCATTTCCCATTAAGGGCGGTGGCAGGAACAGTCGACTGAGAGTTGGGTATGTTTATTAGATTGTATGTTTTTTTGTTGTTTCATTTTCTTTGGCAGAACCATTAGAACGATTTGAAGTTCTATATTAATACAAGAGTGTGTATTCTTCTGTCAGGTATGTTAGTAGTGATTTTGGCAACCACCCATTATCACACCTAATGGGATCTGTATTTGGTATGCATGATAGAGAAAGTGTTGAGGTTTGTAAATTCAGTGTTCATCTGGTGTAGGCTTCATTGTAAGGAGGTAAAGAGTCTAACATCCTTCTCATTCGCCAGGTCTTCTGCTATGCTCTAAGTCAAAATGATGGTACTGAATGGAGGCTGCGCATCCAGTCAGAAGTTGAGCATTTTATTGATGTATCATCCATGTCATCTGAAATGATAGCAAGAATGATTAACGAAGATCAAATACATATTCTTATCAATCTTAATGGTTATACAAAGGTGATACTGTACTTCCAATTCCGATTTATTGTTTTTTGAATTTATTTTTAACTGATTTGTAGCTCTTCTTCTGTGTAGCAAGAAACACCTAATTCCAAATCATTAGATTTACTACATTATCCAATAAATATTTCTTCAAAGTCATGACTCTGTTTTCACCTTCAATTACGGCACTTTGTGTTGTAGATGTTTGATAAACTGACTGTTTGATTTAGTTGTGTTTGGTATAACGATAGGGTCTTGTGCCTACCAAACATGCACTGAGTTCCCCCAATTTGGAGGTTTTTGAAGGATAAAAATTAAATGATAATTTTAGCTCGATTTAAAATGAATACAAGTTCAACTATTTGAATTCAATATATATCTTAAGCGATTTTAACTATACTTCTCGTAGCCTCTCCCTTTTCAAATGTTTCTTTCACTTCCCCTCCCCTTCCCCTCCTTCCCTCCCCCCTCCCCCCAAACTCCCAAACATACCCTTAGTGGTTCCAGTGAAGTTACAATAAATAAATAGCAAAACCATCCTTTGTCCTCTCAGAAGTCATACTTTACCTCTTATTTTTCATATTCATATATTCTTTTCAGTTTAGGCACGTGACTTTTGAATTTCATCATATGTCATGTTTGGATTTGACTTCATCAAAACAATTTTACAGGGGGCTAGAAATGAGATATTTGCCTTGCAGCCTGCTCCGATCCAGGTTTCATACATGGGATTCCCTGGAACAACTGGAGCCTCTTATATACATTATATAGTGACTGATGAGGTACTTTTCCTTTTTCATTTTGATAATTAATTATGTAGTTCATTTTGGGACCCTTAATGATTCTTCTCTTCCTTCAACTTTGGCAGTTTGTCTCACCCACAAAATACTCAAATATTTATTCTGAGAAGCTTGTTCATCTACCGCATTGTTATTTTGTTAATGATTATAAGCAGGTAAGTTTCTCTCTGATTTTGATATCTATTAGGGGTTGGGGTATGTTTGGGTGAGTAGTCTTGAAAAGGAAGAGGGGAATAATTTTTTTTAATCTTTAAATCACGAGATTCATATTTGAGTTATCACAACTAATGAATGATTAATATATTGTGTTTATTTTAATTTGTCATTTCATATCTTTTAATTTTAAAATAATCAGTTTAAAACGCTATCCTTTAAAAAAACATCTTCCCATCCAAAACCTTCTACCATAAGACCCTAAAGGTTTTATGTTTTTCCTTTCCCTTTTAGTTGTTGATTATCTCTTTTACAATGCCCTAGAAAAACCGAGATGTACTAGATCCAAAATTCCAACCAAGGCGCTCAGACTATGGACTGCCAGAAGACAAATTTATATTTGCTTGTTTCAATCAACTCTACAAGATGGACCCAGAAATATTTACAACCTGGTAATCCTAGATGGATTTTATCCGATGTTGGTTGTACACTATTATTATTTGTCTCCTTGATCTGAATAATTAAAGGTTTGTTGCAGGTGTAGTATTCTTAAGCATGTACCAAACAGTGCGCTTTGGCTTCTCAGATTTCCAGCTGCTGGTGAAATGCGGCTTCGTGCCTGTGTGTATTTAATTAGTTCTCTGCTATTATACAACAAGTTTTCTTGATTAGAATTCTGAAGCACTTATCAAATTAAAAAAAAGAATTGAAAGAGAAACTGGTGATAGAAGTTAACCAAGTAATAATGTTTTATCAGATGCAGCTGCACAAGGGGTACAACCAGATCAAATCATATTCACAGATGTTGCAATGAAGCAGGAGCATATAAGACGCAGTTCTTTGGCGGATTTATTCCTTGACACGTATGGAATACCATGACCCCATTTTCCATTCATTTTAAAGGAGTATACCAGAAAACAAGATTATTTCTACTAGCTTCATAGTTTCTATGTGAATGAAAAGTTTCATTTTTTTTTACTTGATAGGCCCTTGTGCAATGGCCACACAACTGGAACGGATGTGCTTTGGGCTGGTCTACCAATGGTGACTCTTCCTCTCAAGAAAATGGCAACAAGAGTGGCTGGTTCATTGTGTTTGGCTACAGGTTTGGGGGATGAGATGATTGTCAGCAGGTGGGTATTTGAGACTCATCTCTATTCAGCTTATTGTTGTATTCTTCTCTGGTTTTTTTTTGCTTCAATTTTCTTTGTTAAATAATCATGCAACTTGTTTGGTATGGATTAAGGTGATTAGTCATTTTATCATTCTGTTGCTTTGGTTGAATTTAGAATTAATAAAGAGTTCAGAAGTTATGTTTGTTTTGCTAAAAAGTAAAAACAGGAGAAGACCATTTACCTCTCTTATTTGTAGGATTAATATTCAATTTATTACGTTTATGGTCATGTTAACTATTCTGTTCTCTTTTTATCCCATCCCAAAGTCATGTCTACTTCACTAGTTTGCTGAAATGATTACCCACTAATTTTTTGCTCCTAATTTATTCACTCAATTATTGAAATGATTTGTCACAGTTAGCCCACTTGGTTCAATTTTTAAAATACTTGTAAAAATCGCTCAAAAACCAAAGACTCCTTATAGTTGGACGGAGAGAGTACAAATAATATTACATGATTTTTTGGTAGTTATTTTAAAACAACATAAGCAAAACACAACACGCTACACAAGGGAACACCGTTTTATTATTAGTAAAAATTATTGATACATTTACAACTCCTACACATGCACTTGTGTTTAGGAGTATGTGTATATATATGTTTTTGAATTTTGAGTATGTGTATTTGAGAACGAGTGAAATGTATTCAACACTACTGAACTAACACGAACTAAAACCAACCAATCTTCCATCTCAGTGGTGGCCATTATTCATTCGGGTATACATATGTTTTTGAATTTTTCATGGGTAATACTTCATTTCCAGTTATACGTTTTCCATCTGTCATTGCACACATCTTGTTCTCTTTGCAGTGTGAAGGAATATGAAGAGAAGGCGATATCACTGGCACTTAATCGCCCTAAACTGCAAGATCTCACCAGTAGACTCAAGGCTGCACGCATGACATGCCCTCTGTTCGATACAGCACGTTGGGTGAGTTTAAGGACATGTTCATTTGGACTGCAATTTGTTAGTCTGAACTGGTCTTGTATTACGTGTATTTTATTACTTCATTTGTCCTATATTAGTCGGCTCACTTAAGAGTGGAAAAAATTGTTGTTTTGCTACTGTTATGGTACTCTATGGTGCACTGTTGAAGCGTAAATTTGTGTTTTTAGTTGGAACTATTTCCAAATAAGGAAGTGAGACGAGTAAAGAAGTAAGACAACTAATATGGAACAACTCTAAGAGGAAAGTGAGACGACTAATATAGAAGAGTGGAATATTATTCAAGTCTGGTCTAATCTAATCTAGTCTAGCTTGGTATGAGATTAAAACAACTTAAAGAGGTCGTAATTCAGGGCAGTCATGGTTTCCAATGCATTTTCAATGCATTTTCATGTTTTCCATGACTCTTTCGACAGGTGAAGAATCTGGAGCGGGCATATTTAAAGATGTGGAATATCTACTGCTGTGGCCAACACCCTCAACCCTTCAAAGTGACTGAGAATGACTCTGAATTCCCTAGTACCATTGGTCACTGAGATCGGAATATCTGAGCATAGACCGGCCTGCCAAAAAGATTGGTCATGCCATAGACATCTGCCTACCTATCATATTATGAAACTGGTCATCATAAAATATGTATGAATTGAATATGAGAAGTCTAGGGAGTGTAGAGCCTACCTAACATATTATGAGATTGGTCATGTCAACATATTTGTGAATTGAATATGAGAAGTCTAGGGAGTGTAGATTGAGCTGTGTAGTATAGTGGGTCGGATTCTAACAACCAAATTTCTCTGTGCTCATGAAGTTTTGTGCTAGCTCTCCCTGTTTTCCCGACAATCATGCGCACACACTTGCATCTGCAGTAGATATTATACTCAGAGATAAATAGCAAGTACTATGCTATGTATTTATGTGGACAATAATAATCACAGCTAAAGTTAAATCTCACGAAATCTAACGATACCAATAATATTTTAACATCGGCTTAACAAGTTGTGTTTGTAATGGAAGCTTTTTTTCAATACGGTGTACGTTTCAAATGATTGTTTTCAATTTGATGTGATCTTCAAAAAAGCTTTGATTAAACATCATTTATGTTTTAAGGAAGAGTGTTTTAATCTTCAATTTGTGTAGGAGCTTTTTTAAACATCATTCAAAAAAGCTTTGATTAAATCCTAATTACGTATCAAGTAGTTTTGTTTCAGGAAGAGTGTTGGCATTAGCGCCAATCTGCATTTCAATTCTTAGAAGTATTTTAAGTGTGTAAATCCATTTAAAAGTTAAAAAAAGGTACGGACGGCGCCAATCTGGATTCAGTGCACTCAACCCCAGTGACACCGACTAGGGGTTGGAGTTATGGGCGTCAGTCTGGATTCAGTGCACTCAACCCCAGTGACTGGTTTGTGTGAGACTGGAATCGGGACTGGTTCAAGCCAAACTCAAAATATATTTTTGAAAATTTTTAATAACTTGCTTTTAATAAACTTCTTAAATGAGAATAACATTTTGAGGTAGTTTTGTTCGGTATATGAAGTCAGAGAAGCTGTTTTGAGTAACCCTTGAAAAAATCTTTAAACTTGTAAATCTGAAATTTTGGAAATCTTGACAAATCCGAACCTTACGCTCTAATACACCCTCTAGCATAAATATATAATCTCTACAACCAAAACAAATAGAAGTAAAAGTAATTCATACTATCCCATCACTAGCTCTTGTATCGTTGTGAGATGCTCTATTTGTTTCTGGAACTAGATTCTTGATCCTCGTGTGAAACAGGTTTGTAACTTTGTATTTCTGATAGCTTCATCACTTAGGTCTGTTCCTCTGATAAATTTACTCCAACGCTGTTTCTTTAATTGTAAAAGATATCGAAAGAACAGCTTGATTGATTACTGGGGTCATGTTTGATCATTGCCACCGGCCAGTAATTGAGCTTTACTGGACTCTTCATCCCATCTGATTCTGGACATAAAGAGCAGGAGAACCACCAAGCAGACCGCCACTCCAACCACAAAGCCCGTCAGCAACCCGGCAAGTCCAAGATGGATCTTGAATGCCAGTATCACTCCCAACGGCAATGCTAAGAGGTAGAAGCCGCATATGCTGGCGTACGTTCCCAGCCACGGGCGGGCCGTTCCTCGCACTATTCCCCCGGAAACTGCCACCGGGAAGTTAACCACCTCCATAACTGCCACAATCAACATCATCTTTTTTACCCCTCGGATGATCCCTCTCTCATGAGTGAACAATGCACCCCAAAAACCTCTGGCCGAAGCCATGGCGGACCCGCCAAGTGCCCCCGATAGGAACCCTAGAGCGAGGGACACGTAGGCCGAGGCGATGGCACCCCCCGCATTGTCGGCTCCTAGCTCGTTGGCAACACGAATGGAGGCGCATGTTGAGAGTGATTGCATAACGGAGAAGAGCAAGTAATCAAAATTGAGCACAATGGCTACAACTCCGAGGGATTGTTTCGGGTTCGGGAGGTTCCCGGTGAGGAAGACTAAGATCTCATAGCACCACCATTCAAGGCAAGTCGTCAAGCAACACGGGGCCGCGAGTTTAAGCAGGCTGATCCAGTCCCCACTCTTCTGATCACACAACCACCCTCCCTCCTTCCACTTCCCGCCATTTCGCCACTCCGATATCACAGTATATAAGGAGAGCATCAGAAGAATTACAAAGTCTGTTATCCAAAAGGCCATGGAAACCCCTTCCACCCCCTTGGATAACAACAGCATGTTTAACGGGATGTGAAACGCTACCCCGATCGCAGTGCTTAGCATGATCGGAACTGTGACGTTCTGCGCTGTTAAGTATATCTTCAAAGGGCACAAGAAGGAAATGATGAATAAGTCTGGGAGGAGATGTCGGGCATAGCTCTTCGCTACGTCTGACACGTCCTCTTGTTGCCCAAAGTGCACTAGGATCTTGTCGATGTTCAGCCAGAGAAGAGAAACCGGGGCCGAGACTGTGAGAAGCAAGATGACAGCCATGACAAGTGTCTTGTGAAGGAGCTTGAAGTTCTTGGCGCCAAAGGCTTGTCCACAGATGGGCTCCACAGCGTACCCGAGGCCGTTCAAGATGGAGAATCCGGTCACGTTCGCGAAGGTGAAGCCAAGGGTGGAGCCGCTCAGGGAAAGCTCCCCGAGCCGGCCGAGAAATGCCGTTGTGATTAAGATCTTGGCGAACCACGTGAAGTTCATGGCTAGCAGTGGGAGCAGTATAGGTCTCTGCACTTTCAGCTCCCTCAACACACTTTCCAGCCATGTTTTCAGTGTCGTAGAAGAAAAGGCATTATGCTCTTCATCTATCATGTTCATAGTTGTGGTTGTGAAATGTGAAATGTGTTTCTGGCTCCTAAATAACCAATAATGGTTGAAGGCAAGTGTTTGTTTCGTGAAGGAAAGCAAAAAGACTCCAACTTTAAATTGTAACAGCCAATAAAGGAAGAGATGACGGCTATTAAGCGATGGAAAACTTACTTTGATAATGCAGTTTATAGTGCATAATTATTGCCTGATGACAACGAATGCAAACAAAATGTGGTGGGGTAGAAACAATAATACTCCGTATCCTAGAGGAACAATTATATTTTATTCTCCTAAATTTGATCCTAATTTAATCTCTCAATGATTTTACACGGTTCTCCTACTTGTGGGGCAACTTTTATAAGTGCACTGCAATTTTATTGTAGAAAATCTGCAAAAAGCCATTTTGGCTTAAAATTTGGGACCAGAGGGTACACCCACAGTTTTTAAATTGCATTACATTTATGAAGTACATGTTAGACACAACGTGAAAAGCAAAATTGTCTTGTAATATATAACGGAAAGAGTACAAATACTACTCTTTATTTTATTACTTCATCTGTCGGGTAATATTTTTCCATCATTTGCAAAATGCAATGGAGCCAAAATTCACTGTTTTTTTGCTTGTGAATGTGAAGTAATAGTCAGTTCATGCAATTTTCAACGCGATTTTCATCATGGGTCATCCGAGTAAGACTGTGATTTAGTACAGGGGTAAGACTGCGTACATTTAATCCTCATTAACCGACCGTAGGTGGGAACCTTTTTGCCACTGGGATGATGATGATGATCTGTCGTGTAATATCCTTTGTCTTATAAAATTTGTCTTGTAATATCTTTTGGAACTAAGGCTTAAATGTTGTTGTTGTTGTATATGTTCTATATTCTCGGCTCACTTAAGAGTGTGGGAAATATTGTTGTTTTGCTACTGTTATGGTACTTGATGGTGCACAGTTGAAGCGTAAATTTGTGTGTTTAGGTGGACCTATTTCCAAATAAGGAAGTAAGACAAATAATACGGAACAACTCTAAGAGGAAAGTGAGACAAATGATATAGAAGAGCTGAATACGGAGTATTGTTTAAGTTTGGTCTTGTCTAGTTTGGTATGAGATTGAAACAACTTGAAGAGGTCGTAATTCAGGGCAGCGGGCAGCCACGGTTGTCTTTTTTCAATGCATTTTCATGTTTTCCGTGACTCTTTCGACAATGTGAAGAATCTGGAGCGGGCATATTTAAAGATGTGGAATCTCTACTGTTGTGGTCAACACCCTCAACCCTTCAGAGTGACCGAGAATGACTTTGAATTCCTTATTACCATTGGTAACTGAGAAGATCGGAATATCGGAGCATACATCGGCCTGCCAAAGAGATTTTTCATGCCATAGAGATCTGCCTACCTAACATATTATGAAATTGGTCATCATTAAATATGTATGAATTGAATATGACAAGTCTAGGGAGTGTAGAGCCTACCTACATAACATATTATGAGATAGGTCATGTTAAATTATTTATGAGCTGAATATGAGAAGTCTAGGGAGTGTAGATGGAGTTGTGTAGTATTGGGTTGGATTCTAACAACCAAATTTTTGAGTGCTCAAGGAAGTGTTGTGCTAGCATTCCCCTTTTTCCGGACAAACACATGCAAACACTTGCATATCCGGTAGATATTATACTCAAAGATAGATGGTACTATGCTACGTATAATTGTGATTTGTGGACAATAATAATCACTTGGTCCAAAAAGTTGAATGCCCATCCGAAGGCCCCCACCCCGACCCGACATGATGGTGGGGAGGTTAATCACGGTGACTCAGTCAGCAAAGCGACGGTACGCCTTATACACGTGCGCATCAGAGGTCCAGCCTTATTTCAGGTTCTGTAACCTCCACACGACCGCTGCAGGTTTCGAACCTTGGTCACTTGGTCCAATTTTCCCACCACTCGACTAACTGAGCTACTTGTGCGGGTGACGATAATAATCACAACTTAAGTTAAATCTCACTAAATCAAACAAGTCCAAGAATATGTTTATTTTAACTTAATATATTGTGTTCGAAAGTAAAGTTTTATTGCAATGCAGAGTACATCTTTTGAATTTTATGTAATCTACATGTCTAGGACTAGTAGTAACCGGAACTGGGAACCGATTTGGGCAGGAGACCGGCCAGGTGCCATTCCTGGGTTGGGGTTTTGGGATTTGAACCGGTGTGTTGGGACTCGAGGGATAATCCGGTCACTTTCATCCAAACGCTCACTTTTTGTCGAATTGTGGAACCAAAGGCTTGTCCGCATATGGGCTCCACGGCAGAACCGAGGCCGTGCAATTGACCTACGCGTGAAGGCTGGAGCAAAAGTTGCTGTTGAACGTGATAGGATCTTATAGTTTAGATTTGCCCAGTGGTTTTAGATTAGAATTAAATAATTGTTATTTTATTCCTTCTATTACCAAGAAGATTATTTCCTTTCATATGTTAGACATTAAAGGATTTTTGTTTCCATTTTGCTAATAATAATTGTTATTTTCGTAAAATGGTGTTGTTGTGGAAATGCTTTTCTTATTAATGGTTAATTATCAATCGACATATTAGATATTAAATGAATAAAATAAAAGGATCTCGATTAAGTAATCAGAAA